TTTTGTCTCCCCGAACTCCAATCTCTTAGAAAGCTATCACTCAACAGCTATCTTCAGCTTGTATTCAACTCCTCGTATATCGTCTCTCCAGCCCGTATCTCTCTCACCCCGAGTCGATTCTGTTCAGCGCCGCTTCACAGTCCCCTTTGACAAGAAGTACTGTACCTCTAGTATCGCGGGGGCCTTGCGGCGCATTGGAGTCACAAATCATTGTGACCGCTTATTGGAAGGTGGCGAAATGGACCCAATGGATTCTCAATCCTTCGATCAGCGTTCGACCTGGAAAGGACGTGCACGTCTTACGCCCATTTCAAAAGTTCTGGAGACCCTCGACGCTTCAGGATCAAGGTCATGATCCGAGCACCCTTTGCCGCAAAACTTTCCATCCAGCCAGAGGCCTACTGGAATGTCATGTTCTGCAAAGCACAAAGGAGACGGCGTGTATGTCCATGCTGGGCTCACCACGTTGGCATCGGGCGGTTTCGAGCACCATGTCAGCGTTGTCTTCCGAAAAGCCCATGGTGCGCTTGCGTTTGCGCGCATTTGATTCTTGAGAGTGTCCTCATATGTAGTCATCATGCTATGCCGCCACAAGTTGATAGGCGTGCTGCGACCTTGCAGTGAGACAAAGGTGCTGAACGCCTTCGACGAGGCATCCGGAATAATGACCGAGTCTCTTTCCGAAGCCGTGGAATTACTATAATTATGGGCAGGAGCCGAGTTTGCGGCCCCTATTTAGGTGGCACTTGCTAGCTTGCCAAAACCGGTTCCGTTTTTAAAAGTGTCTTCAACTACGGCGAGCATCAACGGGCCGTGATGATAAGGTTATCTCTGAGTCACCAACACCGATTGCGATGTGGGTGAGCTTTTACGGCGACTCGGGCATTGAAACGCATGTATGGCCGACTTGAAACGCTTTTTGACCACTTCGTTGAAGTCGTTGCGCACCACCAGAATGTGGTAATCGCTGGCATCCGCGTCTTTACCAAGTACTCTGGGGGTCCCCATAACCGTCAAGAGCATCGTGGACGATCTTGTGACGGCGTCAAAAAGCAGGCGGCTGCGCGCACCAGTGCAGATATGGCAAGCCCTCAGAATGAGAGCGCGGCTCGGAGAAGCCATCGCAAAGGTTGAAGCCGGCGAGAATGGGCGTCAATTGCCATCAGGTGCTCTTTGATGCTGCTCCGTAGAATCTTGAGCCCGCGAGGCCGTGAAGCAGTTTGCCCCATGCTTCCGGCGCAAGCAGCTTCGAAAAGTGAGCCATATGTCGCGAAAGCGGATTTTGATAGCTTCTCATACCTTTGTGTAACGG